ATAAGATGGATTTTATTTGAGAGAAAATCAATAACATATGAAGTAAGAGACCAAAACTAAATTAAATTAAAATTTTCAAGAATCTAGTATTTTAAGATCAGATAGTGAGAACACCCCTGGAAATAAGTTTATAAGAAAATGAATTTGGGTTAATTAATTTAAAAAGGACAACCACAATTTCAGAGAATCAGATAAAACAGCAAACTATAATTAAATGATACCTTTTTTATATTACTTTTCAGAGATGTTTCGAAAATAACTACAATGTAATCGATAGTAGTAAAACTCAATCCTGATTCCAAGATTTGTTCAATGTTTTCAGCCAACTTGACATAGATAGATCCATTGTACTTCTGAGAAACAATTTCAGAAATAAAGGTTTTAATTCTGTCACAGAACTTTTGAGTGGAGACAACCTAAAAATGAGGTAAACTTAATTTTACGCTAATCATCAGAAAAAAGGGCATAACAATATATTTCTTACCAGCAATGACAGCTTTTCATTTCCGACATTTTTTGCAGAAAATTGTAAAAATGTTCTATCTTCATCGAAATCATCCGTATCACCGACTGTACTAGGGCGAAATGGAGCAATTTCACTGTCAGCCACAGAGGGACAATAACTCATAATGAAATGTTTTCTTAAACTCAAATTTGCGATCCCGCCAAAAGCAATGTTTAGGTTAAAACATTTAGACAAAGAGCTTAAGATATGATTTAGAGGCTTTTTTTTATTGGAAGATTAACTTTGATTAAAATTAATTACTAACAAATACTGTTCACAAGATTTAAAAATCCCCTTAATAACTCAATAATATGGTCTAAACAAATATTAAAATCAAGACAACATTTTATGAGTAACGTTTCATTAGAATGAGATCTTGCAATATATAACAGATAATAATATGTCCATACAGAAGGGTTCAGAACAGAGTTTCATGGCGCAAGTTACGCCGTCAAACTTTTTGAGGGGGGCAAATTTCGACGGAGTTATTAATTTTCGGACTAAGGGACAAGGGGGAAAACATGGAACATATCACAGCAAGTGTAATTGTATATGATATACGATTTTTCTAATTCTACCTGAGCTTGCTCTGTTTTTAAGAAAAGGTGAGCAATAATGGGCACTCCTGGGTTCAGATAAATGATATTGTTTATTCTCTTGTCAAATATGGCAACTGATCGGGTTGGGGGCTATCTGGGGACATTATAAGGTATTTTGAATGACAGGAAAATTGTTCACTTAAAATCTCATGAAAACTTAAAATTAAGAGGAGTTAAGATAAAAAGGATTCATCTAAAGTATTTTTATTAATTTCTCATAACTCTGATACTTAGTGCATATTAGAGTAGAGAAGAACCAATACTTGAAAATAAGATGAGTACTATTCAAAGGCAGTGAAACAACTACTTCAAAGTATCCGCTGTTCTTGGTCAGTGGTTATTAACACGGGCGGATCTACGGGGGAGGGGAGGGGGGCTTTCGGGCTGAAGGCCCCTCCAAAATGGCAAAATATAACCATGTTTTATGGGAAAAAAAAATTAAAAAATACCTCTTAAAGTATTATTGTTCGTGTAATTACATTCAAAAGTACTTAAGGAATAACTTAAACACAATTTCATATAGGTAGTTAGTTTCTTTCTGTTTTTCCTAAGTAATTATAGTTATTTTTATGAAAAAAAAAGGTTTCGGACTGAAGCCCTGCCAAAATTAAATCCTGGATTCGCTAGTGGTTATTAACATTCAAGTTCCAGCTCTCTGAAGAAGTTTCGGTTTGAATAGAATGGTTTAGGCCTTGTTTGTCATCTTGATAATTGGAACTACCATACTAATTGAGAATCCTGCGGTCTTTCAATGCTTAGAATTCGGCGCAGGTTGTGATCACGTGCTCGCTCCACAATTTCTGCAACACAACACATGGGACATACATATATGTAGATATATAATTTCGAAACAATTACACTTGCCCTGGATGAAGCTCCACCCCTATTCCATCAATATGGATGTGTTAAAACGACAAGATTTAGGACGAAAACGATACGTTGGAGTCGAAATCATGAATCGCTACAAACATTTGTTTCTATGAGGGATAGGAGTCAAATACTTAAGTAATCCTGTTCTCTTTTTTAATCATAACGCAGGCGATTTAGTTATTAATTTTAAGTACCTACCTTAACAAAATTTATTTCTAAAAGCATTACAGCTATTGTAATTACTTTAATTTAAAAAAATAATGGCTAGACGCCATGATCTTGAATTCGCTACTGCATGCCAGGCCCGACGAGAGTGAAGGGCAGCAGGTGACCCCTCAAGTCTTACAAGGTTTATTCTTTAACTTCTAAATTTACATGAAAATAAAATATAGGTAACATTACATATATTGTATAATAATTATGTAATATATTTACATAATATTTTTGTTGCATACCGTTTAAAACGCTTCAGTTGGATTTTAGTGGTAAATTTAATATTTGACGGGGGCCCAGGAAAATTATCTCTGGGACTCTTGATTTCTCTCCACACCCCTACTTTTCTATTCAAATTTATTTTTCTTACGTCATAATTAGTTCATCCATTTTATCTTAATTGGATAATTTAAAGTGGATTAAAATATTTCTGTGTTTGTCATTGTTTGTGAAATGTCTAAACACGCCTTTAAAAATAAAGTCAGAGGAAAATCACTTAAACTCCATTTTACAGGAGATAAAAAAACTACTTTTATTGTTTTAGCGCTAATTCAAGGAAAATTAATATTGAAAAAATGTCAATAGAATAATTATCCTTTAAAAAAAAAAACCTGTACCACTACAACCCATGAAGGGTCTTGGGTGCAGTACTATGTGAGGAAGTACTGTTACAAGGCCAACGGTTGTGCAGGGAGGTGATAGGGCCGATATCACACTCAACCGCCAGGTTTTCCCTCTTAATTATTTTTTATAATTAAGAGTACCCACTTTATAGAGGCTGGGTGTGCCCCAGGAGGGACTCCCGATCCCAGGGTCGATCCACGGCTAATGAAAAATTACTAGTCATTAGCCGGATTAGAACCCAGGACCTTGAGCTCTGGAAGTCAATGCTCACCCACTGAGCTACCCCGCTCCCTTAAATATCCTTTTAATAGCTTTAAAATAGGCATAAATACTTTCAAATGTTCTATGATTGTTTTTTATAAAAATAAAAAATATACATTGTTTTTCCAACGAAAGTCAACAATTTTTCAAACATTATTCTCTCTATTGGGCTCTCGTCGAAATATTCGTAGTTTTCATCATCATCGCCGGCCTATGAATTTTCAGAAAGCTGCTACGATTCATATTTAGTCATAAACTGCAGTTCATCACTGCTGTTAAGCCTACTTCAGTTCTTTTATTTTAGATGGCCTTAAAGTGATGAATTTAACTGACAGCACCATTTTGTTATATTTTCAGGGCGATTTTATTAATTCCAAAGGCCCCAAAACACTCACTTTTAACTGAATAACTGTTTGATATGTTTTATTCATCTGGTCGAATTGGAAAAAGATATTTCATTTTGTAATAACCATGAAGATCAGCTCAGTTCTGGAAACGAACCTCCTCAGAACATTCGATTACTTTAAATAGATTTCATTTTACTCTAATGTGAAATTTCTTGCCAATCATTCAGAATTTCGAGATACAATTTCAAGTGAAGTAGTCCATATTTGTATCACATCATGTCACACGCTACGCTCCATGATAGTAAAAACGACCGTAACCGACTATTAACTATTTTTATGTGTTCCCACCGTGGGAATCCCACGTAATTGAAATACCAAAAGATATCGTAGTTTTTATTTTGGTAGGTAAAAATAACTAAATTGCGTACATTTTCCGATAAGATTTTGTGAACGAAATGTGACATAGAACAAACATCGTCAGCTCCGTATTTGGTCATAGTTTGATCGTAGATGTGAAAAAATGTGATACCATTGGCGATATATGAAATTTGAAGCTCAAAGAATTGAGTTGGCGTTTGTAATATGTGTTATTTGTATTTATATTTGAGACTGATAAGTTTTCTTTGAAACCCATTACAACTGCCACAATGTCCATATTTTTCCTTAATTGTTCACGATAGTTTAAATTTACAAAGAATAACTTTAATAATTGTGTAGAAAACGGTTTAGACTAAAACTGGCAAAGCATGGTTTTATTTAGAGGAAATTGAGTGAGATGGTTCTTTCTCACACTCCCTGGACATACATTATTTTTTACCTGACCTTTCATTCATTTGTATTGAAAAACTAGATGTTTGGACTGTATTTTCAGTTCGGCTTTTTTATGGGATAGGTGGTATCAAAATAAATAAAATTGTGCAAATACTTTTAAAACTTCTTTTGGTCATTTTTGTTTATTGATGAAATAATTTAATTTATTATTGTTTGTTTCTTAATAGTCTATATCTATCTTCTAACTATATTATTATCACTACAACTCTTATTTTGTCTTGACCTCTTCAATGAACTTTCGCCATTCAGCTTTGTTCTATGTGGCCATTCTCCTATTTTTGACGCCCAGTAGGTCAAGTTCAGTTGATGGCACCGGTTCCGTCTCTAAACTGGACGAAACGATGCTGTGGATAAGATCATCACTGAATTATAAAAACTTATATAATCCATAGCAAAGTTTAGTCAGTTCATACCTATTACAAAAAAACAGTTTAGTCTTACCTATACCATACAAATGTTTTCTGTGGGAAAATAATTTGGAGATACGTTTTGGATCTATTCCCTATCTATTAAAAAATTGTTCATATTAGATTTTTTCTTTTCTATATTTTTTAAATCTAGATAAATATATGAAAGATTGATTATTGATAACAGGAAATTTTATAATTTGAATTGTTAATCATTCCTACCAGATCAAGCTTCCCGAAAATTTACATTAAGAATTATTAATAATTCTTTAATCTCCTTTTACCTAAAAACGAACTAGGCGTAATAGAATGTTGTATGCACCAGAAATTTCAAACCATTAAACCTTGGAAGGTTATATTTTGAACCTTCATATAAATAAATAATTATGTAAAATAATTAATTATGTCTGAAGGTGAACCCGTGATGGTTGGAGGAATAAATACCAGGCAACATAGATATCCCTACTGCATCGTATGGACGCCAATTCCTCTCTTAACGTAGGATATTTGAACCAATTCTGGTTTTCACATGTATACTTATTTTAGTAGGAACAAAGTTGTATTGGTTTTGATTAATGAAGTAAAGTACTTATAAATAATTTTCGTAATATTTAATACTTAACTCATTACAAGTTGTTTTCGTTATATCATATTTCTGTACTCAAAGTGTAATAGTATTGTGGATATGAGCCCCTTATTTTGACATTCTTTAATCCTGTACGTTTATTTATTTTTATATATTTATTAAGTTGTAATATATTATTCAACATGTCAGCCTAAATTCATTTGTAAAGTGATGGGCACATGATTCATTGTGAAATCCCCTAGCTTCATCTGATTTACATAATATAAGTATATTTCTTTAGTCACATGGTCAATTATGTAAGTCAAAATCATTGAAATCAGTGTTCAGGCTGTTACAGGAAACTTTAAATATGGAAACATTATTGAAATTAATAAACTATTTATTATTATTGGAAATATTATTATCCCATAATTTCACATTCCACAGTCTTTGTTGAGATTATTTACCTATCCCACTGTAGTGGACCCAGTGTTATGCTCTGTTTCTGTTATATTTAACATAGTGACTTGAGGGGTATCACTAGTTTTTTATTATTTTGTATTATGGCAAGTTTTAAAAACTATTTACTTTATTATTTTCTTTTTAAGATGGCTGTTTCCAGTGATTGGCCATATGGGGATTTGTACATCAGCTGGTATAATTAGGGATTTTGCTGGATCCTACTATGTTAGCGAAGATAACATGGCGTTCGGCCACCCTACTAGGTTTGTCATATTTCTTAATATCTTTTAAATATACATTGCAATTTGATTATGCAAGTGATTTTTATAAGGAATATCTGGTATTTAATTTTGAGAGAGTGACCTAACTGAATAATAAACTTGACAAATTAGTGACTTCTTGCTTGTTTAAACAGAATCAGATAATCAACATGCTCAATCTGTATTTGTTCCTAGGGCATATCTCCTTCATCCATACTGCGGCGTTTACACAGATATGTACTTTGGTATTTTAATGCATTGATATAAATATGTGTAATGGCATCTAGGCCATTAGTAGGCTATGTTATTAAAATTATTTGAGGATTGGGGCTGATTAGCTATCAATGGGAGGCTACCTTGTAGCATTGATCCATTGCCCAGAGACTATCCAGTGTTCTCTATTCTGGACCACATTTGGTTAAGCAGCAGAAATTGCAAAATGTGTGGAAAGAGTTGGTATTGATCTCGACCACTGAAGCATCAGAACTCTGCGACAGTTGCTGCATGGAAATTTTTTTGAAGAATGGGCTATAATTGCAGGTTCCAAGGTTTTGTTGTTTCTCATTTAAAAAGACCCCAAAAGTCAATAAATACATATGCCAGAACGAATTACTTTCAGAAACAGAATGATATCCCATTAACGGACCTCGATATCGAAGATATCAAAAAAAAAAAAAAATCGATATTTAACCTAACACTACCTTTTTTTTTTTTTCTTGTTCTTCTCTACCTCACCAACTATACGGGATTTTCCTGGACTGGAGGGTAAGGGCGGGTAATTTAAAATCCGAAGATTACAAATTTTTAATCTCATAACTTCACATTCATAAAGATTCAAAGATTAAATACTCTCTACACTATTACTCAGTCACTAAAAACTAATTTATATACAATAGAGAGAATCCCAGCATTTTAATTTGTTAAGATTGGAAAATAAAATATGACAGTTAATAAAAACTTTTTTATACAGGGTGTCCCGTAAGTAGAGGTAAATTTTTCATAGGAATAATAGCAGACAAGTCCTTCAAAAAAGTTCATATAAACCATGGGCCAATCCTCAGCAGAAAAGTAGAAAATTGAAGTTCAATGTTTTTTAAGTAAATCATCTTTTTTGATGAATAGGAAGCGATAACTAAAGAAATATTTAATATAAGTAATTAACAATTGTTTAACTATAAACTGGATAAAATTTCTTCAAATGAAAATAGAATTTGTCATTGTTAAAACCCTTTAATGAGAGGCTAAACTTATCTAAGTTTTGTTTTTAAAAAATCATAAATTATTGGCAAATTTTTTTTTTAATCATCTAATTGTACTACAGATACCCCACTTTTAGAAAAACTTCTTCGTTTAATAAGCTTCAAGTCCATATTAATTAAATTGAGGTTTATTAGGCAAATTCTTGAGATTCACCTCAAGTTGTGTAAAGAAATGATATCAACTTCTATTCAGTCTCCTAATAGTGCTCATGTTTTCAGCAAATATGACTACAATCAACTGTTGCGAAGCTTTTATTTATTGTTTTTTCATGATGTGGAATTTATTTTAATAAATATAATTGCCGAAATACACTTTTTATTTATAAAAAAAAAAAAAAAAATAGTGATTTGAGGTCTGCTGTCACTCCTATAAAAATTTCCCTCTGCTTATGGGACACCCTTTATATTAGAGAGTTATAAAAATCAAATCATATCTATTTTATTTTAGATTTCAATTCTTTTTTTTTTTAATTTATATATTCAGGAAAAATATTCAATGAAATTATCATTCAACCAAAGGAATTAAAATAATTTCATAAAATAACAATTTGTATCGGTCATTCCCTTATTTATTTCTCAAATATTATTTAAAATAAATTTTAGCCTAATAAGTTTACTTAAAGTAGAAAATGTAGGTAATATACCAAATCTAATAATCATTAATCAATAAAACAAATAATACCAGAGTAAATGTAATTATTTTATGATGATGTAGAGATGGTGACCGTTGATATAATATGAGAAGGAGTTAGTCGAGGGTGAGGTCAAATAAATAAAAAATTAAAATAATTAATATATTTTAATTTTTTATTTATTTGACCGCACCCTCGACTAACTCCTTCTCGTAATTATTTTATCTTTCAGATAAATTTTGTTGGCCAATATAGAAACTTGGGTATTATAAAAGACAAATATCTTGAATGAAAAGTGTGCAATATCAAGGTTTAAAATTCCTTGACAGGACATGGGTAGGAAACAAGTTTCTATCTACCCTTAGCATTATTAGGGTACCAAAATTTAAACTTGGCTCTTTTAAAACCATTTTTATTTTTTTAATGTATCAGAGTAAATGTGGTTTTTTTTCTATCATGAATTACTATTTTCTTCAAATTTTTTAAGTACTAATAATTTCATAAATTACCAACTTTTTTGGTTCAATTTTGGGTGCCATGTGCAACTTGATATGTTAGAGGCATCTTATTAGAATTTTATTACAATATTTCTGTAAAGATCGTGTTGTTTAAATGTGTTTATGTTGATAATATTCTATACAGATTGTTATAGCTGTGTATATTAGTTCTGATTTATATTTAAGTATGTGTTTAAAGATTCTATTGTTTAAATATGTCTGTAGTAATTGTGTTGTTTCATAAATAGGAACAAATTTGTTTGATTTTCTTGTTATAGAACTTGTCGATATCTCAGTAGGTGATAAGAAGTCTTTGATAGATCCAAGCTCGGACAGGATATGTTGCGTTGTTATCAGCGTGTTATAGTTGTGACTTCTTGGCAGTGAACTCCTTTCGAGGAGGTGCCCATGAGTGAGTCTTTTTTGCTCTATTGTGAAGCGTGTTAAAATACTTTGCTCACAACAGTTTCCTTGTATCTGTGAGAGTGGTTTATTGCCATTAAAAATATTTTTCATTTTGCTTGTATTAGGAACCTTTGACCAAAAATTGCACCAGGCTTCTTTACATTGGTTCAATACTTCAAATTGTAATCATACTGCATGATGTTAATGTCAGGTACTGAAAGTACGGTGGATGCTTGTTTTGCATCTGTATCAGCCAGTTCCTGGTATTAATTTACTGTTTTATTTAAAATCAAAACATTTTCTTACAAATTAGGACAAAACAGTTATTTTATATTTAAAAGATTAATAATGGAGAAGAAAAATTCTTAATTTTCAGAAATATTGACTAATTCTTTAAACTTTTCATAGATATGTCATGCTGGATCCTGATAATGTAAAAGCAACTGGGTGGGATATTGCAATATCTGAAGCAGCATCCCTTTATAAAACAAGAATGGTAAGTAATTATTGAAATATATGTTTGTTTATTCCTGTTATTTTAAATTATAAAAGATAGTCAATTGTGTTGTTTGATTGAATGTTTGTATTGTTATTATTTGTTGTTCTAGTATCTGTGGTCTTTTTATTAGTATGTATAAAACTAAAAATTGTACTACTACAATCCAGTGAGTTCAATATTTGATAAGAATTTGCTACTTCTTGACTAGCAGAGCTGCAAGGAAATGATGCAGTCAGCCAAGTTTATCTCCCAACCCAAAATGAGTTTATTTAGACTCTGAAAGAGGATCCATGGTTGATGGAATGAAAATAAATCTTAAGGATGAAAATTGCCTCACCTGCTCTGGGATACTATTATTGCTCACTTCTATAGTTTGGTTGGGTTAAATATTATATTTACAAATTAGATAAAAGACCACAAGAACAAAAATATTGCAAGGATTTTTTATTCTTGACCTTCTGGCTGCTGTAGATTGAGGGAGTTCTTAAGATAGGATAGAGTTTATCCTATCTTTGAGGTTGGTGAAGATTTTCTTAATTATTACTTTCACATATGTATATATGAAATGCATAGTGAGGGAAAGTTTTGTGATCATGAAAATATGTGAAACCATTTTTTCTAGAGAAATACATGTTTTTATCCTACAGAAATATATGTATGTTCATTGAGTCCAAATAACCAAGTTTTACACAATGGCCTGTTTTTATATGTATGTTTTATATGTAACTGAAATTATGCATTTTAGATATTCATAAGCCTGGAATATACAGCAACTTATTTATCGAAATCGGATAACCAGAAGTGCCACTTTATATCATTGATTGTACGCATTTTTCTCAAAAACTGCTCAACAATTTTGATAATTTTGATTAAATTTGTTATGCCAATGTAAAATTAAGTGAAAGGTTATGATTGTTCATTTAGCTGTAAAAAGAAATGAACAGTGACAAAAAATGCATAAATTTTACAGATTTAAGAACCAGTGGTTTTCCTAATAAAATTCCAATATAAGCTTCAATTTCTGAAACGATGTAATGTACTGAAGTAATGCTATCCTTGTGCTTTGAAGCTTGCAATTCTGACACAAAATAATAATAATTTTCTTGTTTTAGCACAATCTTTGTTGTGATAACTGTCATTCAATGGTTGCTAATGCTCTTAACCGCATGCAATATCGTGGCTCTTCATCGTGGAACATGGTTACACTAGCCTGTCTCATCACCTTTAGTGGCCGATATGTTGGGTAAGTTGTCATTGTTGTTGTTTCCTCATGATAGAAAATTATTTCTTAACGACTTAAAAAAAAAAACTTTCAGTTACATTTATTGTTTTTTAATTATTTGGTTAGGAATTCATTTTGTTTAAAATATTTTTCATGAAAGTTTGAAATTTCTTCCTCTGGAGTATCTCTGATTTTGTTTATTTGAAATAATCGATCATTTTATATTATAACTAATAACAGCAAATGGTAAAATTTAAAATATGAAATAAAATGTATTAACTGTAGTAGAAATGAGGGCTAAGGTGGGGCTGACATAAACTGGAAATGCCCAAGTTCAATCCCGCTTGTCGAGTAGGTTAGAATGCCACCCAAATGTTCTTAACCCTCCCCCTTGTGTAATAGTTCCTCATTCTGTTCTGCTAGAGTGGTTTCTTGTTCGTACCACTAGGACACTTAAACAGTTAAAAATACCTACAATGAAATATAAACAGATTTAGTGGTCTCATTTATCACTAGCACTCTTGTAGAACTAAAAATAATTGTGGCATTATTATAATTAAATAAATAATAAAAATATAATTGTAGAACGAAATGGATAGTAATGAAAAATGAATAAATTAAATGGGTTAGAGGGGTGGGGAAAAATGTCTGTTATTTAGTTGTTTTTAATTGATATGTGCCATCTAAAATTTTAATTTTCTTTTCTGTCTACTCAAAGTAGGGTGGTAAGTGAAAGTTGTATGCATTATATATGCATGCACTGTGCCAAATTTTTCTTTTTGGAAAAAAAAAAATCAAATCTCTATTCTACTATCTGAAAATGTATATGATTAAAAATGTATTTCTGTTTCAGGATCTCAGGAATTTTAAAAAGTCTTCTCCCTTCAGTTTTGTTATATACAATCATTATTTGTATGATTATTTTTATTTAAGCTCCTACACAATAAAATATTTATATCTTATACAAGTAATGTTACTTCTTAACTCCATGTACCTTTCTGTTATCTTTTATTAATGCAAGCAGATATGAAAAAAAAAAAAAATGCAATTTTAAAATAAAATACAAGGCTTGTCCTTAACATGTCTCCAATCATGGCTCAGAAGCATTCCACATTTGGATAAAAGAGTTTAAATTCTTGAGACCATAATGTTTTTGTAGACTTGGAACAAATAAAATATTATATCTGTTTATAAATTCATTATGATATTCTTGAGACATTCAAGATTGATTGACAGAATAAATGTATATATAATATTAAATATTTGTTTTAATATTTTAATAAATTTATAATAATCAAATTTATTGTTCCTATTATAACTTTAACTGGATAACTTATATTATTTCCATAGTGGTTCGAGTATTTTACATTAATTTTATTTATTTTCATCAGTAAATATAAGTAAACGCAGGAACAAAATAAAAAAATCATATCCAGACTAAAAAGTATGAGTAATGAACTCTTACTCTCCAAGTACTCGAGAAAAGTTATGAAAGATCTATCATCTTTACATATTTCATAGAATAAAAATGTTATTTTCTATACTATTTCATAAGAACCTTGCAACATTTGTGAAAAAAATGATATTAAAAATTGTAGTTGTTGAGAATCCATTGGCTTTATGTTAAATATAATTTTTTTAAAACCTTAACTATTTAAAGAAAAGTTTAAAAAAGTGCCACTATTCTATCCATTTTGGCTGGAGTCTTTCACAAGTTTTGTCATCAATAATTCTTATTAAAAATGACGAATCAACCACTACTGAAACAGATTGTGTAGGATTCTTATAAAATAGAATAGAGAATAACATTGCATTCTATGAAATGTGTGAAGGAGAGATCTTTTGTAACTTTTCTTGAACAATAGGGGGTTAATTGGTCATTACTCATTCTTTTGTAGTCTTAGTGTATTTTTTAATTTTTTTTTTTTTTTTTTGTATGTTCCCTTATATGTCCTGATCAAAATTATTAAAATTAATGTAAAATATTTGAACCATTGTGGAAATTCATGATTGAATCTACACTTTAGTTCTATTTTGTATATAAATACTGATATAATAAGTTTAAATTTAATGTTTTTTAGAACTCTTGAAGTTCGAATCCATTCAAAATCAGGAATTGAGATTTATGATGTTAGTTGTTTGAGTATACAAATTAGTATCAAATCTTTCTCCTTTCTATCTTCTACAATGTATTGATGTATGGTGCTAATGTCAGTAAAAATGCCTAGCATTCTCTTATTATCTATCATTACATTACCTCCCTTGGCTAGACTGAACTTTCTTTTTTTTTTGAGCTTTAAAAAAAAAATTAGTCAGCTTAGGAAAGGTTAGTCATAAAAAAAGAAATAAAAAAAGGCTATATTTTGAGAATAAAATTTTATTTTGGAGCTAATAACTATTTTTTGGATATAATAATAAAAACAGAATGTCCTATTATATTACAACGAAATATTTTATATTTTCTCTCTTTATATTTTATATTTGATAATATAGATAAACTTCACTTACACTTAATGATTTGTTAATGTTTTGAATTGAGCTGATTCAATTTATTTTTAAATAGCATATATTTAATAATGTTTACTTATGGTGTATCTTTGTATGGGCATGTCCCTATCATTTCATTCTCGCAACTTTCGTTAGTGCCTAAGTTATAATATTTGAACATCAGGTTCTGCTTAAATTTGGTATAATGGTGATTGTCTAACCTTGGCTCTACAAGTTGGATTATTTTCTCCTTATACAATTATAGTTGCAGCACATTTGTGTTTATAATTCCAAGAATCAGGCCTATAAAAAATAATTGATCTAATTGTTGTTTTTGACCCAATAAACTCAATTATCTTTGATTCAACAATTATATAATTATTTTTTACTGGGCATCTCTTCAGATCCTCTGCAGAAAAACCAATTCTCCTTCACATCTTAGTTCCGCCAATCTGTCCTTTCCCCTTCTTGTGATATTTAATGCCTCAGATAAATTAAGAAAATTTTCAAAGTATTTATAACAAATTTAATAATAATAAAAAAAGACTGGCTTAACCAAATTTAAATTAATTTACACTTTTTACAATTTAAATTATGTTATATCAGTCACGGTAGGTATATTTCATTGTATGGCACTTGAGCAGCGACATTGGTTAAAAGGTTTCTAAATAGGTCACTAAATGCCTGTCCCACTGCTGGACCAAGTTCCTTGGTCACCTCCTTCCAATTCTCATTCAGGAATCTGTTCATATTGTTACCTGTAACAATAAAGCATTATTAGGTAAATTATTCTATATTAGTTAGAATAAATATAGTTGCTTTTACGTTGTGAATAATCCATTCAGAAGTAAGAGGGGTAGAGCCTCGAAATGTTGATTACGATTACGACCACTTTAAGAAATAGATAAATAAATATGCTAGGAAGAGAAGAAATATTCACAACCTAAAAGTAATAAAGTATTATTTTGATAAATTATTGTATTTTAGGAAGAATAAATACTTCAGAAAACGCATGGATATAATTTATGTTACATAGTTTATGATTAAGAAAAAAAAAATGATTCCTATAATTTTGAAAGGATTGTTATAAATATATCTTTATAATCTCCTACTTTCAAAAGATGATGAAATCTGATTTTTTAACATCAAGGCATGGGTATAATTAATCTTTTTGATCTCTGCTATTATTTGACTTATTAATTTATTTATTTGCACTGGAGGAACTCGTATGATGAAGTTCTATAAATTTTATTTGTCAACAAATGAGGGGGGGATGAAACAAGTAATAAAATTAAAATTCTCAAATAAATGGCTCAGGAGTTTATATTAATGTACCCAAATTATAGAAGAGAAGATTTGTTGAGGTGATCAGTCAAAAATATGTAAAAATAAATAAATTATATTTATCTATTTTAAAATAAAAAATATAATTTATTTATTTGAAAAAAATATAATTTATTTATTTTAAAATAAAAAATATAATTTATTTATTTTTTTATTTTTTTGACTGAACACCCCAACTGATATTCTCTTTAATTATTCATTACAGTCAACCATCAGTTCACTATTATAAGTGATAATTAACATAATCAACTTAATTATTGTAAAGATAAAAATGTAATTCTAAAGCATATGTACAATACAATATAAACTAAACAATTATCTTGAATATAGACTAAAATTTCAATAATAGGAATATAGGGCTTGGTAAAATACTCGTGTACCTACTGCTGTAGGTAATGACAGGAATGGCGAATGTGAATAAACATTGTACTGCGGGAGCCATATAAGGATTCTGATGGATTGAATGGAAGAAGAATTAGAAGAACATATGAGTGATCAAGGCTGTATGTAATATAGAATTGATAAGTTTATATGTATTGGTGTTGTAACTATTTGGAAGTGACATGCCAATGGTCAATTTTGTTTAAAATGTTATCAATAGTATCAATATTGTTTGAAACTCTTATATGTAACAAGAGGTTTCATAGTAGTTAGTTAATCTGGTGGCATGTGTATTGATGAATTATTTCTAGCACTTATAATAATAATAATAAGGCTTAGCGAACCCGAAGGTTCGATGCCGACACCACCAATCGCTTGTTACACACCTCCCTCCACCGTTCGCCGTCCAAACCCAGTCCCTTCAGATCGGCTTTGATGCAATCTTTCCACCTTCGCTTCGGTCTACCCCTCGGACGCTTACCATTCGGCACAGCAAATATTAACCTTTTAGGAATTCTCTCGTTACTAAGCCCAACAACTTTACAAGCCCATTTGATTCGCCGCGATGAAATTACCTCAATTATATTACCCAGATACAGCTCACGCAATTCGGCGTTGTGTAACCGTCTGAACTCTCCGGTTAACTCATCCTTCTTCGGTCCGAATATTCTACGCAATACTTTATTTTCAAAAACCTTAAGACGCTGCTCATCCCTTAATGTAAGCGGCCAAGTTTCGCATCCATAAAGAACTGTAGGCAAGATAATTGTTTTATAGATTCTAATTTTTAAGTTCCGGGACAAGAGGCGCGAACTAAGTAGTTTTGTCACAGAAAAATAACAAGCATTTCCCGCCTTCAGTCTAACCTTAATCTCCTCTTCAATTTCGTTCTTTCTAGTTATCGTAGAACCTAGATACCTAAATTTATCTACCTGTTCAAACATATTACCATCTATATCGATATCACCAGTAGTATCGCCATTTTTGCAGCTAACCATATATTTTGTTTTATCCACGTTTATTTCGAGTCCTAGTTCTTTACCGGCTTTCATCAACGTTGTCGTATTTAGTTTTATAGTTTCAACGTCTTCGCTTAACAGTACCAGATCATCAGCATAGCCCAGCACGGATGTTGTCCCGCCTAGATCCAACCCTTTCTCGGTTCGCATTACCTCCCTAATGGCATGTTCTAATGCCAAATTGAACAGTACAGGCGAAAGAGAATCCCCCTGTTTTAAGCCCGAACGAACCTCAAATTTTTCGGACAAATTATTACCGATTCTAACTTTATTGAGTGTCTCCGTCAAGCACATCCTGACTAGATTTACTAGTTTTTTTGGAATCCCCTGCTCGATTAGAATATTATACAGTTTCTGGCGGTCAATAGAATCGTAAGCCTTTTTAAAATCTATATACAGCTGGTGAACAATACCGTTGTACTCCAATTTTTTCTCTAATATTTGCCGTAAAGAAAATATTTGATCAATAGTAAATATTTCTAGCACTTAAGTTACAAATATGCTAATACAAACTATTAAATTTATCCTAATAGGGCTTAAGGGACTTCTCAAAATTATTTTTGAGATTTTTGTCTTCCAAGTTATAGATGTTAAAGAGAAATTAATGACAGGACATGAATCATAGATTCTTGGAACTTGTTAAAAATATTATTCAAAACAAAGAGTAACTGTGTAAAAAAAACAAAAACACAATGGTAATTTCATAACATTACCAGTTGTTCAGCTTATTGCAAAACAAATGTGCTATTTATTAAATGATGGGTACAGGAACTAAAAAAAGCAAGGATGTTATTCAAAGATTTCTAAACAAACCATTGACTTTCTCAAACATCAATTGTCAATGTTTTGCCAGTAGAGTACTTGCATGAATTTAAAAATTGTATTCGTAATTGATGATTACAACTAATACGTAAAAATTTACAAAATTTTTATGATTCTTATTGGGCAATCAGGGGACTTAAGCCCGAAAGCAGACCATGAAGAAATTTAGCAGCGAGATGTGGTCTCCTTACAGACGTATGTTGCTTGCGGGATAACCTGGAGGGGATCACCCAACCTCATGTTGCTATGAACCATGGTCTCCATGGTGCAGTGACAGGCTACCCCCTGTTGCTCCATAGCCGATCCCTTTGGGGCCAATATGGCAGTGTCCTTCTCACCGACTCACTCGGGTTCAAGGACAGTGACAAATCGGTCTAGATCCGTAGATTATGGCTGCTCAGAGTCGGCAGGCGCACGAGGACCCATATTTCTTTCCCTGAAACAGACCGTCCATGGACCGAACCTCAGGTAGGCTACTAACATCCTGTTAAACCACATCCCTATTCCTGATTTAAGTTCACGGGCTAGAATCATCAGTTCGACGTCCGGTCGGTGTTCATTGCCTCCAGTAGGATGACGTTCGTCACATACCCGGAGGGGGAGAGAATCGGACAGCATGGTTTTTCCTGGTGGTCGGTCACTCAAATCGGTAGGTCACCCATCCAACCACGCTCGGCATTGCTGAACTTTGATTACATATTGCAAGCGTCTTCCCCGTCCCCCATATATATATATTTAAAATGGTAATTACTTTGAAAAAAAGAAAGAAACTAACTACTTTTATGAAACAGTGTGAAAAAGTGATTCTTGAAGTCCTATTAAATGTAATTACACGAACAACAATACTTGGAGACAGGGGTTTCCAGAAGGGAGTTTCGGAGCTCAAGTTGCACCATCAAACTTTTGATGGGACATGTTTTGATGGATTTTTTGAATTTTTGAGGTGGGCACATTTTGACAGTGTTATGAATTTTCAGAATGAAAAGTTTCATACTAAGGGACAAGGAGAAAATATGAAACAGACCGCAGCAAGTTTAATAGTGTATGATCTACGATTTTTCTAATTCTACCTTCGCTTGCTCTGTTTTTAAGAAAATATCCTAGGAGTGGAAGGAAGGGGGAGTAGATTCTCGCGCCATCGACCTTGGGGAGGATGGGCACCCCTGCTTGGAGAGATAATTTTTTTTCATAAGACATTTTTGTATTTTACCATTTTATGGAGGGAAGATGGTTTCAGCCCGAAAGGCACCCTCTCCCTCCCTCCCCCATAGATCCGCCTGTGGTGGGGATAGAAATACGTACAAGATCAGAGATACAGGGATACGTCAAATGCTGCTGATACATAGCTCAATTCATTGAGTATCTTACTTGGAATACTTTTAGCTTGGAAAATTATTACCAACTTAAAAACTTTCATCCAAGAAATATTTTTCCGTTTTAATATTAATACCTTAATAATAATTATTATTTATATATATAAATAAATAACTTGAATACTTACCGAGAAACTGATCTCCATTGAATAAATTCTTCAAGTCAAAATAGGTCCTCCCGTTGTTGAAGTCAATTTTGCTCTTCGTGAAGTTCATATATTCTTTTCCATTCTTTTTTACTAGATCCCATTCATACTTGTAAACGATATCCAGTTCAGCTGAAAATCATTACTGTGTAAAGTAAAAAGTAAAAGTAGTAGGATCATATAAAGGGACTGGGTTTATTTATTCGCCCTTGATTTTACTGCATATGTATGCGATTTGCTCTGTGTTGTATATCTAAATTTATTATTAAAAACATTAAAGTGGTTCGTTATTAACTTTTTCTTGAGGGTGGTGATATTTTTGATTCATTTCCCCATTACGGTTCTATGAAAATTAAATTGGGGTAACTATATGGGGACGGAGTTGTCCGATAACCAACCATATGGTAAACCACTAGTGGAACCAGGATTTGTTTTTGGGGGGGCTTCAGCAAGAAAGTTTTTTTTTCTATAAAAATAACGACAATTACTTTGGAAAAAAAGATAGAAACTAACTACCTATATGAAATGGTGTTTAAATGATTCCTAAAGCCCTTTTAAATGTAATTACACGAACAATAATACTTTAAGAGATACTTTTTTAATATTTTTTTTGATAAAACATGGTTATACTTTACTTTCGGGTTATACTTACTTCAGCCCGAAAGCCCCTCCCCCGTAGATCCGCCTGTGGTAAACTGAAGTTACAAGATACAAAATAATTTCAGGTTCGCGTCTCGGTGCCGGTACGGCTTTTTAACTTTGGCATCGATCCCCCGCCCTCTCCTCCGACTTGAGAATATCCTCGTTTAGCCTAAAAGACGAGATATGTGTGGACCAAAAAAAAAAAAAAAAAATTGGTAGAACTATAAATGGTTAATTTTATTTTCCATAGGGCTCTAAAAATATACGGAAGGAATTCACAAAAAGAGGTTATTGAGTGATTAGTTTTTTTTCTTTTTAGAGAGGATATTTTTGACCGACGAGGGTGAGAAATATCGTTACTATTATTTTAAAAGATTGTATGTAAAAATTGACTTTTTTTTTACAGAACAACATAAGAAGTGATTACCTTATATATAATGTAATATTTTATTTTCTTTGCTATTTTCTATAATAGCAGAATACTTATTTAAGTTGCAGACTACAAAATGTTACTTTTAGCATAAATAGAATAAACATGGAAATTTGGTACATACGATCATTTTCATTAACAGTTGCGATATATATTTAATTTTTAACGCTTTTTTTTGTGCTTCATATACTTTTCAAGTTTATTTTCAACCGTTCGCCTCTCTTTTTACGATCGTATCATGCAATGTTGTACAATATGTATAGTGGTGGATCGAGTCCTGTTGATAATCTTAATTATGATAAAAATTTAAATTTTATTTTAAACTAAAAAAAAAGTAGCCGGCCTTTTCTGACTCACTAATTGTGACGTTGGCCTTTCCTGTTCCTGTTATGGGGAGGATCAGCACTTGCCCATTGACTTCGTAATCTCCAATGATCTCCACTCTGGGAACCTTGAACGTCCATTCGATTTGTCTTTTCTTCAGGTCCGTTCTGAAAAGTAAGGTGTGGTTTTAAACAATTTTAATTTTTTTTTTCGAACTACCGTGAAATGTGGGTATCGAATTAGCAGTATTAAATGTATAAGCCAGTAGGTAAGGAGCTGAAATCGGACGTAATAAAAAAAAAAAAAAGACTTGTTTTAATCCCTTTATTTTAGGTCAAATGTTAATACCGTGGATTTGTCCACCAAACATCCACCTCCTACTAAATGTCCACCTCTGCGAAACGAGGTTTCTTGGTTAAATCATGAAAGTTTGAGTAAGGAGGTTATACATTAATTTTCTTTCAATTATAAATTAATTCATAAATATTGATCCAATGAAAAGTTCTAGAGCTTCAAAATTTGCACGAATTGAGTGCCAGCACAAAAATTTACTTTGATTATAAGCTTACTACCTTCTTCCGAATTCATTCGAATTATAAACAAAAGTAACTTGAAATAAATGTTGAGGATCATTTAATTCTTCATTGAAGGTGTATTAATACATGAAAAGTGAATACGTAAGTTTATACGGATGATTGTATTCGAACAGAGAATAAATATATGAAAAGAAACTATTATACGCAATCAATATACAATCCTCATAAAACATTTCCCATTCAACAGATGATGATTCATAGAACAATAGAGTTACATCTGAGTACTTTAAACAGTTCAAGTATATCTTATTATCTTCTATATATATATATATATATATATATATATATATATATATATATATATATATATATATATATATATATATATATATATATATATATATATATATATATATATATATATCCACAACTTTTCCTTAATCGACCTTTGAGTATTAAATTTAAACCTAACTATTTAATTGGGAATAAGGTCACTTATTAATTATTTAATAAACTATTGAATGTTCATTTCTTCTATGTTTATTGACGTTTCGATCCCGGTATTTTCTTTTTATAAGTCAACGATGGGATCCTCTTCAAAGCTAGAATTTTAAAAAATAGAGCCTCGATCAGGCCAGGGACACACCGACAGTCTTAGCACCGTCCACTAGCACATATATTAAGCTACTTATTAATATTAAGATACAGTAGAGACTGGCGGTGTGTTCCTGGCCTGTTTATTGATTAAAGATTATGCAAGGAGGTGCTTTGATCGTGATCAAACTCAACTGCCAGATTTTCCCTTAATTAATTTATTATTCTCAATGCTCCTTACTTTGTCGCTAATAACATCATCCATAAAGACCCTAATGTTCCTTATGTTTCCGAATTGGCCCAATTCAGATACCTATCCTTGCATAATAAACTTCAGAACCATCCGAACCCTCTCGATTCTAACCTTGCTTCCTATGCGATCCCTGATAACCCTCCGAGGCGTCTGAAAAGAAGATGGCCTCGACATCTCCTGATGTAAATACATTTTTTTTTTAGTGCTACCAGTGGGTAGTTTTTGTGTTTTCATGTCTTTATTTTCTGTTATCACATTTACTTAATGTATTCTTTCTTAATACAGTTAGAAATATCATAAAAAAAAAAAATGAATTGATTAAGAATATCCACTTCATAGAGTCTGAGTATCTCAAAAGAGGGTCTCTCCCGACCCCCAGGGTTGATCCACGGCCGATGAAACATAATTAATAATTTATCTGTCATCAGCAGGATTCGAAGCCGAGACCTTGAACTTTGGAAGCCAATGCCCAACAGAGCGACCTGTCCTCTCCCATATATATAGTAGTATAAATAACTTACTTTGCTTTAAGAAATTTGGTGTTCTTCATACCGTAGAGCTTGGCATTACGTAGGATCATCTTCAAGCCAACCTGTTTGGTTCCTTGGTTCACCCTTAGTTCTGTTATATCCATGGGCTCCAATTTAGGGGCCCGATATTTTGGATCACCTACAACAAAGGAAGTTGAATGTCGCAGGATAGAAATTATAAGTTGTGGTTGTTAGTGCTTAGGGTCACAAGCTCGATATTTTGGTTTTAAATACTTAGTTAATTAATTGTTTTATCAGATTTTATTATTTTTTCTCTTTATTCTATTACTATTAAACAAAGTAAATTATAGATATAACGAGGATATAATAATTATGATTTAAAAAAGACAATTCTGCCGTTGACAAGTTCACTCAACAACACGAATTATACGAATTTAAGTACAATGTAATTTATTTTTAATTAAACTCAAGACTTCAATAAAAGAAATAATATTAAACTTAATTGCGAGCATTGTTATGAAATGATGTTTATAGAAAATCACTCAGATTGTTTGAGTACGATTTGATTTGATGAATGTTATACAAACGAAATTTTTAATCTTGATAGTGCTGATCCTACATAAAAAAACTTGTTTAGTTTATGTAGCCTACTGAATAGATACTTATTGTTACTAAAAATTTCTTATTTAAACGATGATTTAATTACAAAATAGAAACACTGTATCGCACCATGTGAGTTGGACACCACATTACATTGAAACTACAATTTTTATGGCTCGCATTAAATGATGTAAGTTATGATAAATTTATTATGCATATAATTGACTATATTTTAATATACTTGCCTCCTAATATCTTAGGGATGGCGTCTTGTCCATGCTTGACGACGCACTCGTCCAACTTCGGATCACTCCTCCTACATGCCACCAGGTAGTTGGCTGAAATAAGAATAAATGTTGATAAATAATATAATTGAATATAAATTATGTGTTATAAATGAAAAACCTTCAATAAAAAATAACTATTGAAGTTTTTATCCGTTTAGTGACAAATATATGGTTTTATAAGTTTTTAATGATGTTAAAAACATCACTAGGAATTTACTCAATATAAATTATGTATCAACAACTTACTAATAAAATGTAAATAATCAAAAGGCTATTATTTTTTTCCCTCTTCTAAAACAGTATTAATAAATCCGCGAATTTCCAGGAAATACAAGTAGTTCTAAATTATTCCTCTCGATTACTGTTTGGTAGATTCGTAGTAGTATTTATAACAAGACAGTAATATTCAAATCATTTATAGGCTGAGAAAATGTTAAAAACTCGCTTCTTCTATCTAAGGTTGTAAAAAAAAAAATTATATGTATATACTTTTAAATATTCAATATGTGAAGTGTCATCAAAATTTTTCTCCTTCTAATTACTCCAATTAATTATTTCTGCATCATTTACTTCACTTGCGAACCTCAGTTTGGAGTCACTTAGGAAAAACTGTGGTAGAGACACAAACTTTCGCAGCTCACGGAGGTTGAGTTTAATCCGGTGTACGCTCACCTTGCGGCCCAATGTTCGCTGTTCTACTCTGTTCTCTTCTACGTTCCACAGAATCTCACCTTGCATGGAATCGCATCTGCTCACCAAGCTGCGGTTCAACTTGCGCCCATCCTTAAAGTGGATCTTCCCGTCCCTTCGTTTCTCGAATCTTTCCTTTACCAAACTGTCAATCTACTCTCTCACGCATTTAAAACTCTTTGTCCATTCACTGAAAACAAAATCTCCATTTCTAATTTATATACTCCTCCCACAGAACTGAAACCTTCGAACGTTCCTTTCTTTACCGCTCTACCCACTGCTATAATATTAAAGTCTTCTAGATAAAATTTATGAATTAAAAAAAAATCGTATTATGAAAGCGTTGAAGAAATAAGTATTTTATATCTTTGAACGAAAACAAATCTGATAAATATTACAATACAGATCTTACTACGGTATAAATATCATGGATGTTTAATCTTTCTGTTGCGGGAATTTTTATGAAATAGATAAATAAGGTTTACATTAGGAAATCTCGTACTACATATATATTTTTTTCCACAAAGCAGCCTTTTAAGACTACGCGAATATCATTAATTTTTCTTTCTCATTTTCACTTTTCTCTTCTCCCGTTATCTTCTCATCATTTCTGCGTGCCTTTTGCTTCCTCTCTTTCGATCACGCAGTACCCTTCCGTTTTTATTTATTTTCCATAAGAATCTTGATTTCTTTTAATTTTTTTCCGTGTGTTATAATTTTTAACATTCATGTATGCAATTTTTTTTAAAGAATTTAATGATTTGTTTACTCAATCCATTGACAGGTGGAAGAGGGACTTGTTACATAAGTGAGAGAAAACTACTTCTATGACGTAATATGCGAAGTGCTTAAGAAACTGTGCTGGTGGGTCTAGGTCAGTTCCGATCCACCTACCTCTTTGGCTTCTATTGTTTGGCCACGACATTAATAAGATTTATAAAGGATTATACTCTTCCAATTCACTATTAATAAAGCTCGTGATAGATTTCAAAGGCCAATATAATACTAAATAGCATTGAGTAATGAATTTGCAACAGTCTTAGTTGACCGTCGAGGGAATTAAATATATTTACTATTTAATGCAGTAAGGGATTAAAAAAAAATGTTGAAGCAGTCAACTTGAATTATTAGGAATTAAATTGATTTTTCTAACAGTAATTAAGGGAACAAAAATATTTTAGAGAGTTTTTAATATTTTTATTGACACATGCCTGAAATTCATTCAGAATCGGATTCATAGATTGTACTACAATAAACTTTTTCAATCAACCACTAGCGGATCCAGGATTTAATTTTGGGGGGGGGCTTCAGCCCGAAAGCTTTTTTTTTCATAAAAATTACGATAATTACTTTGGAAAAAAAGAAAGAAACTAACTACCTGTATGAAATGGTGTTTAAGTGATTCCTAAAGCCCTTTTAATATTAATCACACGAACAATAATACTTTAAGAGTTACTTTTTTAATATTTTGTTCGATAAAACATGGTTATATTTTTCCATTTTGGGGGGGCTTCAGCCCGAAAGCCCCCCCCTCCCCCCTGTAGATCCGCCCGTGCAATCAACCACAATATGTTTCCACTTAACCATTTCACAAACAAAACTCAATTAATTCTATGGGATTTCTTATGATCTTAACATTTGTTTGTAATTATTTGATATACGCAAACACCACAACAGAGTGAAATTTACTGTTATCTCCAAGCGGAACATATCGAGTCCTCAAGTGAATTTTTAGGTCATTACTTTTCAGCATTAGAAAGAAAAAAAAGACCTATCTGTCATCATGATAATGAGCTACGTGAGTTTTTATGTTGTGATCACAACAGGCTTCCAAAAAGGTGTTTAAGTCATAAAGTATCCTATTCATTTTTTTAACGAACGAGAATTTAAGAATGATACAGATTTAGCTAGGACGCTGTTTAAAATTACAATATCTCAAAATGATAATAGAGAGAATTGCCTCTGAAAGGATGTCAATATTATTTTTATTTATAGGCTGAAATTTAGCAACAGAAATATTGTAAAACAGTGTACATATAATTACTAATGCCTATGTTAACACTTAATAATAATAAGGCTTAGCGAACCCGAAGGTTCGATGCCGACACCACCAATCGCTTGTTACACACCTCCCTCCACCGTTCGCCGTCCAAACCCAGTCCCTTCAGATCGGCTTTAATGCAATCTTCCCACCTTCGCTTCGGTCTACCCCTCGGACGCTTACCATTCGGCATAGCAAATATTAACCTTTTAGGAATTCTCTCGTTACTAAGCCCAACAACTTTATAAGCCCATTTGATTCGCCGCGATGAAATTACCTCAATTATATTACCCGGATACAGCTCACGCAATTCGGCGTTGTGTAACCGTCTGAACTCTCCGGTTAACTCATCCTTCTTCGGTCCGAATATTCTACGCAATACTTTATTTTCAAAAACCTTAAGACGCTGCTCATCCCTTAATGTAAGCGGCCAACTTTCGCATCCATAAAGAACTGTAGGCAAGATAATTGTTTTATAGATTCTAATTTTTAAGTTTCGGGACAAGAGGCGCGAACTAAGTAGTTTTGTCACAGAAAAATAACAAGCATTCCCCGCCTTCAGTCTAACCTTAATCTCTTCTTCAATTTCGTTTTTTCTAGTTATCGTAGAACCTAGATACCTAAATTTATCTACCTGTTCAAACATATTACCATCTATATCGATATCACCAGTAGTATCGCCATTTTTGCAGCTAACCATATATTTTGTTTTATCCACGTTTATTTCGAGTCCTAGTTCTTTACCGGCTTTCATTAACGTTGTCGTATTTAGTTTTATAGTTTCAACGTCTTCGCTTAACAGTACCAGATCATCAGCATAGCCCAGCACGGGTGTTGTCCCGCCCAGATCCAACCCTTTCTCGGTTCGCATTACCTCCCTAATGGCATGTTCTAATGCCAAATTGAACAGGACAGGCGAAAGAGAATCCCCCTGTTTTAAGCCCGAACGAACCTCAAATTTTTCGGACAAATTATTACCGATTCTAACTTTATTGAGTGTCTCCGTCAAGCACATCCTGACTAGATTTACTAGTTTTTTTGGAATCCCCTGCTCGATTAGAATATTATACAGTTTCTGGCGGTCAATAGAATCGTAAGCCTTTTTAAAATCTATATACAGCTGGTGAACAATACCGTTGTACTCCAATTTTTTCTCTAATATTTGCCGTAAAGAAAATATTTGATCAATAGTCGAACGATTCCGTCTAAATCCGCATTGGTAGTCTCCGATAATTTCCTCGGCGTATTCCGTGATTCGACTGGTTAAGATTAAAGTGAATATTTTATAACATACCGGAAGGAGTGAAATTCCTCGATAGTTATTACAATCCGTCCTCGGACCCTTTTTGTGAATCGGAATAAGAATGGATTCTTTCCATTCTTCAGGTAATTTCTCGTTCACCCAGATTTTTTTAACCAACTGATGTATTTTAGAAACTCCAGTTTCCCCGCATGCCTTAATTAGTTCAGTAGGAATATTATCGATTCCCGCTGCTTTATATGATTTTAATTTTCCGATAGCTACTTCAACTTCCTCTTTACTTGGTCCTTCTATTAACGGTTCAGCACTCTGGTACTCAGAAGGAGGACACAGATCATAATTTCCCGTATTTAAAATATTGTCAAAGTGGTCCTTAAACTTATTCAATATGTCAACCGGATCGGTCAGAATATTGTTATTATCATCCCTAATTCCAGACGTTACGGGCCCTACATATTTACGTGATCTGTTTATACCTTTGTACATGTCTCTTACGTTATTTTGGATTCTATTTCAATTATTTTATTTTTAAGATACTCCCTTTTTTTATTTTTGAGCAATTTTGTCGTTTCGTTCTTTGAGATTCGGAAGTATTCCAGATTGTCTTCGCTAGGATTATTTAGAGCTTTTAATTTAGCGGCTTTTCTTTTTTCACACATGTTTAAGCAATCTTCATCAAACCACGGTTTGTTATTCTTATTTTCCTTTTTTCCTAGACACGAGTTACCGACCGCTTTAATATTATCTCTGATCTCTATCCATAACTTGTCAATATCCTCGTGGTCCTCGTCAGGAAGCTCTAAAGCTTCAAACCTATTCTTAACATCTAGCTCGAATTGGTTTCTAATTAATGGATTTTTTAATTTTTCCAAATTAAAATTCTCAAAATCGAAACGGTTTTCTTTTCTCTTTTTTACATTAAGTTTTTGTCGAAGTTTCGCGATTACTAATTCATGATCCGACCCACATTCTGCTCCGCGATAAGACCGTACATTAATTATACTGCTTTGCCAGCTATGTTGTATCAAGACATGATCGATTTGATTTCGTGTTTGCGAA